TCAAGCGGGGGGTTGGGGGGAGCCCCGGTTGCAGAGCAGAGGATGGGACGAGGTCGATAGCTGGTTTCTGACGGGGACTCAGATCCTGGGCAGCGGGCCCACCACTTTCCCATCAGGAACAGTGAACAAGGATCTTGTAAAATACACAGACCGAAGGAAAATGACCCTTAGTGACTGAAACCAGCTGTGTCAAGCTTCTCGCTGTCTCTCCTGATTTGCTCTCTCAAATAAATGGATGTGGTAGAGGATGAGAGAAAGTAAACAGAATCATTTTTTCTCTCTTGCAGCCACACCTCAGTAAGAGCCCTGGTTTTTATAGCTGAAAAATATATGTTTATTTGCTCATTAATTTTCCCCTCTCTCCCTTGCCTTTTCTTGGCATTGAGTAGAATGTTATTTAAAACAAGACACAGTTCAGCTTCAAAAAGAAAAATCATTCTGCAAAATACAGCTTGGACTCATTTAATGGTTATTCATCATCCCTGAAAGAGTGTGGTACAAATATCTATATTTGGTATACTTTAATGATTTAGACTGCAATGATCCATGTTGGCACAAGGATACAGGGAAGCAGTAGGCTCTTTTAGGACTTTCAGAAGTGCCCCAATCATTTATTGGCACTGCTTTCCTTCAAAGAGGACACAGGCTGGTGCTTGAAAGGTGGACTCAACCCCAAGGCCTGAGGTTCTCTAAGGGATGCTTGAAAGTCTTCATTGCCTCGCTGAAGTGTGTGTTTTCTCCCCCATGCTGAAAAAGCTTTGGTTTTATGTGTCTTCCATTTCCTTCAGGTAGTGGCAAATAATGATGTGCCTAACGCAGTGCCTGGCACATAGCAGAAGCTCCATCAGTTTTTGTTGAGGGAATAAATAGGTAAATGGAATGTTATGAGCCTTGCTAGTGTTATTGTCTTGGCGTGAAATATGCAAGAATAGACTTGAGGCAATCAAGTAATTTCCCTTAACAGGACAAGCTAATTATTTGAGATGAAGATCTGGTGCATAGTATTTATTTGTCAGGCTCCCTTTGCTCCTAATTAAAGGTGGAAAACTTGTTTGTAGCATTGGAGGGGTAACACAGTGACCCACTACTAAGCCACTTTTCAATTTTCCGTACGACTTTTCCAGGGAAAAGGTATCAAGAGAAAGTGAAGGCACATTCCTTTTGTTTCTTCACGTTTTATTTTTTCTGTTATCATTTTTGGGAGGGCAGGCTGGGTATGGAGCCTGAAGCTCTTTTGATAGTACTTCTACCGCCTGTCTGCCTCCATGACTTCTGTAGTCTTTTCTGCTGGCTTTGGCTGACCGATGAAATCCTCCTCCCAGACAGAACCTGCAGTGATCCAAGAGGAAAATGCTGCATCCTCATGAGCCTCAGAAGTTTCTTTCTTTCATTCATTCATTCATCTGTACATTCATTCCAAAAATATGAATTTAGTGCCTGCCATGTACCAGGCTCTGTGCTAAAGCTGTAACTTTAACAACTGAGCAAAATCCAACGTGGTTCCTGCTCTCTGGAAGCTTACGGTCTGGAATGGTTGATGGATATGAATTGAATAATCATATTAAAAATCATAACCTCAAACTGAATTAAAAAGAGGAATATGGCCCTACTGGGACCATGCAATAACAGGAATTGATTTTGACAGGAGTCGGTTGAGCGTCCCATCTTGGTTTTGGCTCAGGTCATATTCTCATGGGTTGGGGGATGGAGCTCCGCATGAGGCTGTGGGCTGGGCAGGTGGGGAGTCTTCTTGAAGATTCTCTCCCTCTACCCCTCCCCCCACTCACGGGCACTCTCTCACTTTCTCCCTCTCTAAAATAAATAAATAAATCTTTTAAAAAATAAAAATAAAATGTCTGAAGAAAGGGAAAGAGCATTTCAGCCAAGAAGACTATCAAATGCAAAGGCCTGTGGAGCCTGCGTGGGAAGAGCAGGGGCTGATGGGAAGGCAGGGCCACACCCCTCAGTGTCTGTGCATAAGCCATAACGTCCTCTGAACATTAGAAAGACCAAAGGGTCATAAACCCAAGGGTGAGGAAGAAGTGGGAACGGGAAGAAGGGACACATGTACTTTATCAAATTGATGGGGGAAGGTGGGAGGGGGGAATACAAGTATCCATTCTTCACAAGTGTAACAAGGGAGGTGATCATGGTAAGCCCAGGATCATTTGCTGCACCGGAGCTTCCTGGAAATTCTTACATTCACACTTCTGTCTGCCAAGTTTCAGAAAGAGTTTATCTGGGTCTTGACTGTGTGCTAAGTAATCATGCGCTGGACCATGCAGCAATGGCATCTTGTCTTATCATTTTATCGTAGACCTGTCTCTTCTTTAAGCCTTTCTTTTGATGATAAGGAGGTGGCATAACATAGTTTATAACTGTTTTTGGCAAGTGTGTATGGTATGCCTTCCGGCACCTTCTTTCTTAGTTTAGAGAACAGGCTGTGGAGGTAGCATGCCTCTACACCTCTCCAGTGGTGTGTGAGCTTGAGCGGGTGGCTTAGCCTCTCTTTTAGCCCCGCAGGATTGTTCTAAGGATTAGGTGAGACTGAGGAATGGTGTGCAGTGAGTGCTCAAGTAATGCCAGCCATTGTTATTAGCTAGTTTCACTCATATAGAAAGGTGTCGAAGATATACTGTTAAGGAGGACAAAGGCAAGTTACTTGGGGTAGTGGAGCTTAGCAGGAAAAGGGTAGGCAGGTGGCTTTTAGTCTTTCGCCCCATATTCTTGTAGTTGATTTTTTTTACTACATAGCTATATGTTTTCATAATAATGAAACTACAAAGAATAGTTGAGAAAGTTTATCAATACTACCCAATTGCAAAAAACAGTGATGTCAGTATAATCTTTTTCATAATTTTCTTCACCCTTAAGTTTGGAGATGTCATTTGGAAACTTTTCTTGGGATAAAGAAACATGTATCTAAAGTCCAGCAGTTCATTTTATTTTATTTTTTACTTCTTTTGCTTATGTTATATTCAAATAATCTTTAAGTTCCATGCTATTATTATCCCACTGTGATGAAATTATTCTGCTTGTTCATCCACCTCTTTCCCAGGGATTCAGGAAGCTTAACTTCTTCGGGATTACTATGATGAAGGTCAGTAGCTGATACTCATGAAAGAGGAAGCAAGTAGGCTTAATGGTCACTGAATCTGGATGTAGGAAATGTTTTCAATGATTATCTAATCTTAGGATACAGTCTGTCACATATCCCCCTCCTTTTTATTTTATCTTTCTTTTACAAGTGGAGGTTCTTAGGCGCCTGAGTGGCTTAGTCCGTTAAGCGTCTGCCTTCGGCTCAGGTCATGATCCCAGGGTCCTGGGATCGAGTCCCGCTTTGGGCTCCCTGCTCAGCGGGGAGCCTGCTTCTCTCTCTACCCCCCGCTTCTGCTTTTTCTGTTGCTATCTCTACCTCTCCTCTCAAGTAAATAAATAAAATCTTTAAAAAAAAAAGTGGAGGTTCTTTGTGTTTAACTAAAGATTTTGATGAATTCAGTTGGTATTTATCAATAGCTTACTCCACCCAGTCGAGAGTAATTAATATTGTACAGGGCTGGAGCATGGTTGCTTTGACCCTCATTTAAATACAACTCTTCCTTTTTGCAGTGACTGCACATCACTGTCATTAATCAGATAAGAATAAAAATCAGGAGACAACTTTGAGTCCCCTAGCAAATACTTCATGGAGCCTGTGTGAGCTTGCCAACCAGACTATCATCACCGCAGAAGATACGTTTCCAAGAAATAACTGTATTATACAGTACTTAGCACATTGTGCCCCTCAGGATATGATGATAATTGCCTGTGCACAAGAAAAGGCAATTTTGAAGAAACTGTGACTAAGTTGATTACCAACTGATTCTTTAAATCGGGGCCAGCAAACCATGGCCCATGGGCCAAATTTGGCCCCCTGCCTAATTTTGCACAGCGCACAAGCTAAAAATGGTTTTTACATTTTTAAATGATGAAAAATCTAAAGTAGAATAGCATTTCATGTCATGTGAAAATTATATGGAATTCAAACTTCCTGTTCCTGAATAAAGTTGTGTTAGAACACAGCGTGCTCATTGATTTATACACCGTCTACAGCTGCTTTTGCCCCAAAAGAGCAGAATTCAGTAGTTGTGACAGAGAGCACAAGGCGTGCAGTAGTAAAAATATTTACTATCTGACTTTTTATAGACAAGTTTGCTGATCCCTGCTTTAGATTCAGGTAGAAGTTATTTGTGTGCACGTCTGTGTGCTTGTTAATGGATAATTCTTTTGTGTTAGAAATATGCCCGGTGATACGGCCATCAAAGAAGCTGTAGAATGCAATCCTCCAAATCTTTCCATGTCCCTCACTTCCTTCCCCAAATCAGAAGAAAGTTATTGCGTGAGAAAAATTAGGTTATCAGGAGGGACAATGAGAAATATCATGGTAACAAATGGAGAAGACCTACCTACTGCCTCCGAAAGTTATACATCATGAATCTAATTTGAAGTCCTAAAATAACATCAATACTATTCCTGTACCCTGAAATTTGAAGTTATTTCCTCTTTGTATTTGAGAAGTCTTTTGGGTGGAAGAAATCTTTTATTCTTGTGAGCCTTACAAAACACAGTGCTGTATCAGATGAGCCCTTTGTTCAGTGACATTATTGTGTTGGTTTTATTTGGTTTATACTTACGTTCAGCTGCCAGTAGGATATGATGAATAATCGATAGCAGGAAATTAGTAGGAAATACCTTTTAGTAGACTGTCTAAATCTTGACAGGGTATCCTGCTCATCTGCCGTGATGGTTGAATTAACATTTCCAGCTGACATTGACCCTCCTGCCTACCAAGATATATATGGAAATTTGAAATTAATATAAAAGTCATACCGCCAACCAATAAACAACTACTAGCAGTAGTACCATAACACAGAATTGAAAATATGAGTCCTTTTGATTCAAAATCCCTCTTCTGTACACGACTGACCTCAGTTGTCCCCTCTTGTTTTGTTCTGTTTCAGAGGTTGAAGGCTGCGTTGACTCACCACCCAGCTGCCATGTCAAATGGGAATATGAACACCATGGGACACATGATGGAGATGATGGGCTCCCGGCAGGACCAGACGCCACACCACCACATGCACTCACACCCGCATCAGCACCAGACACTGCCAGCCCATCACCCGTACCCACACCAGCACCAGCACCCAGCACACCATCCTCACCCTCAACCCCATCACCAGCAGAACCACCCACATCATCATTCCCACTCCCACCTTCACGCACACCCTGCACATCACCAGACCTCGCCACACCCACCCCTGCACTCCGGCAACCAAGCACAGGTAGACCCTTTTATGATCTCTTTCCCCCTTGTTGTTATCAGTGCGAGCTCTAATGCGGGGTTCATTGGCAGCAACTGGTTTGATGAGCTTGGGTGTTCTGTCTCACGCTTGGGGGAGCTCTGTTCTTTCTTAGGAAGTAATGGCATCCTGTAAGACCCTTCCAGATCCTAGTTTCTAGAAATAATATTGTCGATATCAGGTCTAGTCTCTGGGGGCAAATGTAAACTTCAAGTTCTCCGAAATCTGTTTTTTTGCAGTGTGTTACAAAGGTAACTCTAAAAAAGTAATACTGATGGGAGGATTAGGAAGAATTGAAGCCTCTGAAGAAAGATGCGAATAAAGAATGAGAAAAATAAGTTAATTCTAGCCATGGATTTAACTGCAGTGCTTTATAACATAGAGACTCAATTTTGGCACCTGTAAAATGGAAGTTAAATACAATGGGCAGTCTTCTGAATAACACTAAATGCTAAAAAGCTAAAGAATAACAGTTCCAGGCAGACAAAGGAGTTCAGTAATGGATGATAGGGCATAAGGTGCTGTGTAAATGAGGAAGAGAAGTGACTCATGCCACCTAGTGTGAAATGCGTTGGAGGGAGCAGAGAGCCAAGCTCTGTAGATGGTTGGTTCTAGAGAAAGGCCAAATCCCAGGGGTGGAGAGTCACCAGAAGTGGCTAGAAAGAAAGCCAGCATTTAGACACAACTGAAGGAGGGTTGGGGGACCAGGCAGACGTTATGTCACCCAGCCCAAGAAGAGAGGCGGGTCCGTGTACCCGAGTAAGTTTTAGTAAGTGGATGAAGGGCATGTCTAGGAGCATGGCTAGCCCTAGACACTTTGGATCTTCAAGCAGGATGACCTTTGTCAGTCCCCTCCACCCATTCCACACTGCCAGGTTCCAACCAGTTGGGTCAGAGTGGTGTTGGGAGCTTGGAATCGCCAAATAACACTTATTCACCATCTTCTCCACCATCTGCCTCCAGACCTCACCCAAGGCAGTTTGGGAGCTTTAGAAGCCTCTCCTCTAACACACACCAAACTTGGACGGCCATCCACAAAATGGGTCATTCACAAGCAGCTCTCTGATCTGTTCAATAGATAAGCTTATTCATTAGGTCAGCTTACTTTTGCAAAGGTAATTAGAGGAATTCTATACAGCAAGTAAGAGTGCAGGCTTTAGAGTGAGAAACCTGTAAATTCTTTTCCCAAATTCTTTCACTTGCTGTGTGACTGTGGTCAGTCAGCTAAACTCCCTAAGCCTCAGTCATCCCATCTGCAAAATGGGGTAATAATAGATAAAACTCATCGACTTTTAGGAGTATTAAGAGAATGTCTGTAAAGCCCTTGGCACAGGGATCAATACATGTTAGCCATGATTAATTCCAAACTGAAGTAACATGATAGACGTTTAGCAAGTAGTTCAGCAATAAAACGACGTCCAAAGCACCTTTTAGTCAAACGCCATAGTAGGACATGGAGACAGTTAGAAGGGACAAAGAAAACTAGAAGTGCAAAAATAGGCAAATAAATTCGCATGTGTACTTACTTTTTTAAGGAAAAGGATAGCATCGAGTTTTAGTTGCCTCGTCAGCTTAGTTACTTCACGGACAAGTTTAACCGTTAGTTGAATATAAAAGCCATTCATTAGCTAATTACCAATTAGCCAATTGCCCTCCATTTCAAGTCAGTAAGTGGCCAATTGTATATGCAATTAGTTAATTGCATTATAATTAGCTGCACAAACAGTTGCTTTTTAATCCCATACTAAAGGGAAAGAGTACAGGTTGTTCTTGTTAAAATCTGAACAAGATCATTCAGACAATACTTAAAATGCCACTCTTAAATTATGTGAACTTGGCTGATTACTGAGATCTTGTCATATTGCTTAAGCATACGATGATTAGAACATTAGGAACAGAAGTTTATTAAGGCCCTCTCAACTGTGAGATTCTAATATGACTTGGAATAAATTTGTCTTTATGAAATAACAATTCATTATATTTTTATCAAAAGCTTCAGAGCATCTATGCCAACAGAATTCTATTTTAAAAATAAAATAAGTAACAATAATTACCAGGGACATAAATTCTGGTCTCAGGGTTGCATTTGCACTTTCTCCTGGCTTCTTAGGATTCTCTTGCACCTAAGGATGTGATTTCGGAGTCCTGGTGTCATTCCTCAATCACTAGGAATTTCTCTTATCCAAACTACACTTTGAACCCTGAACTTGGACTGAGCCTGAAACCACCACATAACTTACCCCCTTGGGAAAAGGCACAGAAGTGTCAGAGATAAAGGTTGGTGGAAGTTGGGGTGGGAGAATACAGTATCAAATGCAAGGTCTTGGCAATGGAGATTCAAACCCAGTTTTGCCTACTTGAGAATCTTATCCAGACATCACAAATTCTCAAAAAGAAATGGTACAGGCAAAAATGGCCAAGTTTGCAGGTTCCTTCCTAATGCTTTGCTTTGAGGTAGTTAGCTCAGCAGCTAGCATCTGAGATGACAAGTGCTAAACCTTTGCCAGTAACAAGGATTATATCCTCACCAGCCACTCTGGTGAGACCTTCGACAATTAATACATTTTGTTATTTCTCTGTGATTGGGAGGAAAGGAATCACCAATAAGCAGTTTTAGAAAATGTCTCTGGTTTAAATAAAATTACCAAGATGCAGTCCAACTTCAGTCCTGAGCCTGATTCTTCTACAGTGAGTCATATTAGCTTTGATAGAGTTTAGGATTAAAATATATCACTGTCAGTCAGCCAACGTCAACCAGTAGCCATTATTAGTGCAATTACAGTCATTCTGATTGATTTCAATCATAGAATTGGAATGTGGTAGGAAAAGTAGCTGCACTTTCTTTTAAACACTTTTTTTGCCTGTTATTTCTGTAGGTTAAATGTCTCTTGTAAAACAGCTTTATAGATATTATAGCCATAAGCCTGAGTGACTGAGAAATGAGAAGGAAAAAAAAAAAATACCCTTTATTGAGAGTGAAGAAAGGGGGAAGGAGTGCGGTGCATTAGGGAAAGCATTAGGTGTCCAGACACATAAAGAGTCAGTCTTGGAAATTTCACTCAGTGCTGTGTGTCTGCCTCATGGAGGGAAATAAAGCTGTGTGGGCAGGAGTCTCCAAAACTTTAGGCACTGCTGAGCCCCTTGCATCTCTTAGAAGGAATCTGTAAGTATAGTAACACTTTTTGATGAAGTGCTTTGCCACACCTAGGGTTTCCTTACAATGTAAGTATCTGGTGATTCCCGGCCACCCCTCCCTGTAGCACAGACAGGTGTATTATGGGGCTCAGGGTTGCTCTGGGCATCCATTGCATAGGCCCCGCTACCAGCCACCTGGAAAGGCCTGTCTCTGGCAGATCTCCAAGGAGCAGATGGACCCATCTGGAATTTGCCGGTCCAGCTAGGCCCTTTGCATTAAGAACTCTGAAATGGCAAAAATAGGATTTCAAGCTGCTTTCTGGGCTTCAGGGGGTTCTTTTGGTAGGAGTCACAGTGGTGATGATGTCCCAGAAGTGTGTTCTAGGAACATGGTTTTAACACCAGGAAAACGAAAGTTCAAAACCTGCCCAGAAGGAGTTTTCTACAGATGACAGAAGACTCGTCAATATTGTGACAATAGCCCTGATCTCTGTTGTCACCTGTAGCCCTGCATTGGCACATTAAACCTTTATAAAACGCACTTAAATAAAACATGTTTAACATCTGAAGGAGAGAAAAAAAAATATTTCCTCTGCCATAATTCAGCCAAATTCCTGTCAGGGAAAAATCTGTTTGACTCTGTTTCACAAGTCGTTTCTGTGTCTTGCCAAAATACCACAGAAGATAGTTCGGCAATGCTTTTTCTTTTCATGAGCATGATTTCCCTGTTGACTTCGTTCTTAGAAAACAAGTTCGATCTGCTTACTAAAGCAATCAGCTCTCTGTGCTTTGTGTTCCAACACCAGCTTGGGTTTCCTCTCTCACCCAGCACGTTCCTTCTCTGTCCCCATCACCCCCCTCCCTCTCGTGCCCCGCAGGTCTCACCAGCGACACAACAGATGCAGCCAACCCAGACAATACAGCCACCCCAGCCCACAGGGGGGCGCCGGCGAAGGGTGGTGGACGAGGATCCCGATGAGAGGCGGAGGAAATTTCTGGAACGGAACCGGGCAGCTGCCACCCGCTGCAGACAGAAGAGGAAGGTCTGGGTGATGTCACTGGAAAAGAAAGCAGAAGAACTCACCCAGACAAACATGCAGCTTCAGGTGCAGGCCGCTGTCTCTTTCCTCAGGACTCAAAGGCCCTGTGTACGGTTGGCATTTCCTGCCCCCCGCAGGCGCTTGTTGACCTAAACAGTCATACCGCACATTTGCCCACAGAGCAACTGCATGCAGGCTTACTCCCCAAGTTTTATTCGCTCCAGGACACTGCACAAAACAAAATAAGCATTCAGTTTTAAATCAACCTGCCTACAAAGCTCTGAGCAGGGAGAACCTGCCCAACTGAGTTATAGGGCCATGAGTACAGGTTTGGTCAGATGGAGGTTCACACTCTGGTTCAGCAATTAGTTGTGTTTAACCTGGCCCTCAGTTTCCTCATCTATAAAATGGGAATAATAACCTCAGAGAGTCGCTGGGAGTCATAAGTGAACTAATGTCTACAAAGCAGTTTCCCCGGTACCTAGCGCATAATAAATCTTCAGCCCAACGGTAGTTCTTTATATTCACCAGGGAGGGGGTTGCTTTGCCTTCCACCAGACTACCTCTGGTTTGGTTTCATGGAGGAAAGGAACGTTTATGGTTATTATTTTGCTCTAGAAGAAAAGACATTATTCCCATCTCGTTTTCAAACTCAACAAGATTTGAATCTTGTGGGATTTTTCCCTTTCATGGGTGGCTCAACGGGGGACATTTTTCTAACAAGGCCCCTTCTGGGTGCATTTGAGAGAAGGGGAGAAAAGTCTAGTGCCAGGGCCTCTCCAGCAGACTTCATGCTATACAAATGAGGCATTCAGGGAATCTGTTCTCACACGATGAGGAATGCCCTCTCCACCAGCAAAAAAAGAGCAACTAAATCGATTACATGACAAGTATGCAGAGAGAGCAGTAAGAGTTCGGGATTGCAGCCCGGTGCTTCTAGGAGCAGAGAGAAAGGCTGAAGAGTGGAGGGAAGGGGGAAAAGATTGCCCCAAACAGGGAGGATCTGTACCTTAGTAGTTTGTAGGTCCCCTTCCCCCACCTGGTTCTCTGTGCATCCTTAGAAAGGAATGGTAGGGGTGCCAAACCCCCAAAACTTTTGCATATTCAATGCATTCAGTGGAAATGCCCTTGGAGCAGCCAATGTATAAATTGCAAATATATAAAGAAATTTTGGATTATGCATGGACTGCATATGGATGGTCACATTTTCCCCTTAATTTATCATCCTTTTTGTGATAGACATGAGAAAGAAAATGGGAAACATATATAGCAGATACGGGGGAAGTACAGTAAACAGTCCTCCCAGTGGCTTCTAGGTGCATGAAGGTGGGAGCTGTGTCTTGTCTTATTGCCTTCTCCCCCTACTCCCTACCCCCTGTTTCTAGTATAGTGTCGAGCTAACCTGCTGAGTCCCTGAGTGTCTACACTCAATATCTGCTTGATAAATAAATGAATGAGTTCCCTATCTCTGGAGTGTCCAAGCCCTGACTGCCTGCCCACTTGGCCAGGATGTGATTGAAGGGAGTCAAGCCACAGTGGGATGGCTGGATTCTTAACACCTTGAAAGTCATTGCAACTTGAAAATCTGTAGTTCTAGAATCCCTATAGCCACAGTGGTATGTGAGAAGCTTTTAGGTAGGAGATGGTAAGCACTCTTAACATTCAGAGTAATCATGTTTTTATGTTTATGTGTATTGAAAAATGTAATTAGAACATCAGGACTTCAATTTCATAGATACTCTTGGTAAGGATGAGGCTAAAATATTAAATAATGAGTTAATTTGTACAAACATGTTAAGTCAATAAAAACTCTGGTGCATGTGGATCTAGCAAATATTACACTGGCTCTGCAATGACTGAAGTGTGGAAATCCCTGGAATTTGCTACCAGTTCTGAGGTTTGCAAGAGGACCATGAAAATGGGCAGGATTTCTCAATCTTGGCACTATTTAATTTGGGGCTTGATAATTCTCCATTGTGTCCTGTTCATAGTAGATATTTAGTAGTATCTTTGACCTCTACCCACTAAATATGAGTAGTACCCTCTACCCCACTCCCAAGTTGTGACAACCAAAAAGTCTCCACACATTGTCAGATATCTCCTGTGGGGACAAAATCAGCCCTAGTGATTGAGAACCACTGCCTTAAATGAAGGAGCCATGAATAGCCGGCTGGCACATATCAGATGCCAACAAATGTTTAAATCAGTTTTAACTAAAATGAGTCCTTGCAGAAATATTTCAGCGTATTGACTATGGTGCTGGAGCTTGAAAACAGAAAGAGATCATAGCAGAGATCCAGGAAAAGTGAAGATGCTGGTCTACCTTGTGGTCAGATATGTTCATGACTTGGCATATGCCTCCATGTTATTGCTCTTACAAAACACATAAGGTAAATTTACCCTTTACGAGACCCTAATCCATTAATTTCCACCACTCTTTAGAACCATACATGGCTAGAGAAAAAAGATACTAGAATTCTAGCCACCAGAAATGAGGGGGGAGAAAAGTTCTATTTGGTCTATCAACAGGCACCAGTATTTTTGGTTGCTAAAGGAGTGCCCAAGGGAAGGAAGGAACAGTCTCTGAAAAGACTAAATTCTTTGTGTTTTCCAACCACTGCTTTGCTTCAGAGAGACAGAAACCACAGCCGTTCCGTGTTTTCGGTGATGCTGAGTGCTCTGCATCATGCCTTGTGATGCTAGAGCGGATATGCAGATTCTGCTACCTTTGAATGACCCTTTCCCTCCTACTGGACCTTTGTCAAAAGAAAAAGGTGTCTCTCTTGAGGCTGGTCCAGTGAGCCAAATTTTAAGTAAACAGCAATGGAAGGTGCTAAGCAAACAAACTCTAGCCAAACGGAATATCCAAGGTCTGGATGGCCAGCTGCCACTTTTGAGTTGTTTTTCAGCTTAGAACCTTTTAGCTGGGCTGCAGAGTTTCAGATTGGAAAAAATCAGACCTAAGAAAACAAAATCAAGCTCCCAGACTTCATTTCCTTGTCTCACAACAAATCTGTACCCAAGAGGTCAACACAGGTATAGGAATTGAGGGAAATACTAGAAATCACACGATCTGACATTTTTGTATAGGGAGAAACTGAGGCCAGGGGGACATGAGGAGTCTTCCCGAAAGTCACAAACAGCACGTAGTAGGAGGAGGACCCAAGCAAGTCTTCTCTTGACCCAACCCACTGCTCTAGGATCTTTCATTGTAGAGAATTCTTAAACTAAAGGAACCCACGTGCTTTTCTCTGACAGAGTAGCTAAGATCAGCTCTGAATTCATCAGCAACTGATGGGATGCTCAGTGGATTGTTTGTGTGCAGCAGACGATATGGAAATCATCTGGTCGCCCATGGAAATAATTGCTTTTTTTTTTTTTTTTTTTAGTGCAAAGACACATGGCCTAAGTCGCTGCTGAAATTTTAGACACATGAGCCCAGGTTTGGGACTTGGCAAGAGAATAGGCCAGATGGGAACTGTTGCCTTACAAATTGAAAGTCCTTTGTTTTAGCGTGAACCAAACCTGGCCTCAACTAATCTACAAAAAAGAAAAAAATAAGCGGGGAGGGGCTATCTTGTAGGGCCCATTTTGATAATTATTTTTTTGGCACAGACTACTGCTTGCATCAAAAAGCATTCTGGGTTTATCATATTAACAAAATGACATCCCCAAAGCCAAAAACTGCAAATGTAGCTATTAGGGACTTCTTGGAGTACTTGTTTAAAGTATGTTATTATGGTGTTGAATGTCTCTAGAAGGGCACTACTTCATCCCCCAGACAACCTTATGGGTGAAAGAACAGATTAATTCAACTGCACCTCGCCTCCAACAGTCCCTATCTCAATGGCTAACTGCTTTAGGGTAGCAAACCCAAACGAGGTTCAAAAAATGAAAAAATGAAGGGCTGTTTCAACAGGGTAATTCATACCTGATTATTAATACTTACTTGGCTTTTGTAAAGTACTTTTATACAAAGACCCAGAATAATTACTATAACCCACGCAGGGGAGTAAAAAAAATATTGGTGATTTGCCTCAGTTCATAAAGCAAGGTAATTCAGAGTAAGAAGGTGCCTCTGGAAGGCCTGGTTTTTATTTCCCTACTAGAGCTGCAGGCAACATTTTATTTCTCTCATGCATTTTGAAACATTTGCTATCTGGTGATTCTCTTCCAAAATGAATTCAAGGTGATTCTACTTGTGTTCCCTTCAAAAGGGTTTTTATTTAAAATCTAGTCTGGCATCTCCTTTGTCAGTCAGGGTGGAGACTTGAAGATGATTATGCGTGTGCACGGCCCACGGTCCACCCTGCTTTCTCTAGGACAGTGATTCTCAACCTTTCTTAATCCAAAGCCTCCCTTGTGGAATCTGATGAAGGCTTGACAGGCTCTGTCAACAGTGTGGACCTATACAAGGATGCGAGGTTGTGTGCTAAACCGAAACTGTAGATATAGCTTTGGAATCTGCCCTGATAAGATTTGGAAGCACACAAACTGTGCTCCCTCAGGAAATGCGAGACTCGAAATATAAGCCTATCTGAGAATACCAAAAGCAGTTAACTAATTAATAAAAAGTAAAGATCGAGTCCTTCATTCGATTATTAGGTAGTTAGCTTTCTCCACAGAAGGCAAAACAGAAATACTCCAAGAATAAACAACTATGTTTCCGGCGGGAACTAGAGAACTAGTCCCACCATCTTGTTTTACATTAGTTCGATGTGGCAAGTGGGGAGGCCCAACGGTATTATTCTGAAACCCCTGTTGAGAGCTCTTTTTCCTGCTGGAAGCTGCCCCATGAATTTCTGTTGCTTCTGTGGCTGTTAGACTTTGATTTCATCCTTATCAGCATCGTAATTACCTGTGTACGATCAAAACAAGAGGCTGTTTGTTCTTCTTTATGGAGAATATTTATCAGCATTCATTTTCCAACCGTAAGATAACTAACATAATTACTAACACATTACTTTAAGAAATATATCCTTATTCACATATATCTTTCAGGTTCCTACACTTTTACAGACCCTTGAAATCCCGGGTCCTCAGTTCCTATACTTAACAATGTATAAAGTGCTTTGCTATCCATAGACAAAAAGTGCCACTCAAATCATCTATTTTGTCCGGGGCTTTGACACATACGCTGTTCATAGCGGTGATTGGCGCTGTTTTATTGTGGCCTCTCATGGAAGCAAAAGGTTTATTGTGAAACAATTTGGGGTGTGCCAAGTATTGTAGGCAGTTAGCTCCTTGTGATTGTAGAAGCCCAAAGAACGGAATTCAAAGTGTTTTTTTAAGGAAGGGGCTATGAACATTTTGTGCCTAGGAGATCGAACACTGCCTAGAAAAGGTGGGTTGGAGCAGGACATAGTTGGGGGAAAAACGGAGACTAAAATCAATCTCTCCAAGATGACCACCAGGTGGAATTTTTTTTTTTTTTCTTCTAGAAGTGTAAGAAAGCAAGAGAATCTTGTTTTGTTTTATGTCTTGTTTTGTTTTATTTTCCTTATTTGTTGTTTCCTAGGTCACAGAAGAAAAGTGTGGGAGGATTCAGTAAAAATTGGAGCTTGACTCCATTTTCTAAGAAAGAGTATCAGCATTATCTGCAGCTAAACTTAGGGTGCAGGTGTCTTGATGGTTGTGATTTTAGAAAAGCGCTGTATCTATAATCCAAATGCAAATAATATGACATTTCATTTTGAGGCCAAATATATATATATATATATTAGTTTTATATATTAGTTTTATATACTAGTTTATATATTATATATAATTAGTTTTATATATTATATATTAGTTTTCTTTTTCTCCATTTTCATTTTGTTTTTGTTTGTTTTGTTTTAAAGATTTATTTCCCAGAGAGAAAAAGGGAGAGAGAGAGAGAAACGCAGGGGGGCGTGGCAGGCAGAGGGAGAAGCAGGCTCCCTGCCGAGCAGGGAGCCCTATGCAGGACTCAATCCCAGGACCCCGGGATCATGACCTGAGCCAAAGGCAGACACTTAACTGACTGAGCCACCCAGACATCCCTGTTTTGTTTTTTAACCAGGGGTTGCCTTCTATTTAACAGACTAAAAGTAACTTTCTTTTACACATGCCATTTTAAGCAAAGGGCATCTGGGAAAAGCAAGGAAGGCTGTCTGAATTTAAATGGGCATAAAATCAAAGAGGAAAGAATTAGTATTTAAGGCTACAATAAGTTGTCCTAAAAATAAAGTTGTCCCACTGACCCCAGAATTGACAGGGGCCAGGTTTGGTTTTGATAGGGCCCCTTACCAATCACACTCCTTTGGAGGTGGGAGGTGCAATTCACCCTCCTGAATGTTTTCAGATTAAGAGCAGTTAAGTGATTTATTTGTCCTATTAATGCTAATTTCTCAGATAGGCATTTTTATTTTGTAAAATGTGGAGAAGAGAAAAGCTTCTGTAGGTGAGATTCTTACTATTTTGTTATTTATGTTACTCACCATTTGATTAATTATATTTTGCAAATGAATTTGGAAATGCGAGGTATTCTTTAAAACAAGCATCAAAAAAAATGTTTTTTTAAATTAACTTTTAGAATCCCAAACCTAGTTTTTTAGGTGATGAATACATGCCTGAAAAGCCAAGTTCATAATGAAAGTGTAGATACAACTTAATGACAGCAATGTTAAAACACCCTTTTCTGTGTGCATGTTTTTTTAAAGGTTCCACATGTGGAGTACAATGCCTGGCAGCCACGAATGAACATTGGCCAGAGAGAGGGTGTTATTTATCACAACTGTAAAAGGGCTTGTTTGAGATAGTGCTATGTTTACAGTTTACTTTTATCAAGTGGAAGCACCTTAGAACCAACCAATCTATTCTTCATTTATATTTGTAGACAGTGGTGCCAAGTACATTACTCTACAAAGCTATGAATTGGTCTTTGTGAATTACTACATAAAGTGGAGATTCGAGGCACTTATCTAAGTAAATAAGAAACACACACACATGCAATCCACAACACCCTGATTATTGATGGCAGGAAGAGTTTATAGACTGAAATTAGCCAAACTAGTTAGTGAACCAATCAAATTAATTTAATTGTAGCCAAAACTTCATTGCCCCTCGCCTTCCCGGGCGGACCTCATCCCACCAGTAGAGAATCAACATTTGTCCCATGTGCTTCCATGCCTTCTGCTAAGCAGACGTCAGGCAGGGATGCGCTCTGTGGAACTATAGCCCATTTGGAAATTCTTTTGGGAAATCTGATGGTAGATCGGTTGGCTTATTCTGAGGACATTTCAGTTTGAAGCCACTAATTCTGCCATTCAGTTCTTCTCGATGCATGTGCAACATTCACTTTCTTCACAGATTGTACATGAACCTGAGCTTATCAGTGTGAAGATGATTATTATGAATACCTAAATTCAGTGGTTGCTCAGTATGTGCCAGGCAATATTCTCAGAGTTTTACATCTATTGCCTCATTCAGTCCTCACAACAACTCAAAGAACTTTATTCCGATTTGATCCCCAATTATAAACAAGGTCGCTGAAGTTTAGCTGGCTTATGTTTCCTGCCTAGAGTCACCCAGTAAGTGTAAAGTGGAGATTCCCACCCAAGACACCTGGCTCCAGAGTCTACTACCTAAAGGGTGTGCTCTGGACTTTTAATAGGCTTCAGCTCTTGAGTTAAAAACTTGGTCTTTTCAAAAAGTCCCTGGTAAATGTGAGGACCAAGTTAAAGGCAAACTACACATTTTCAGGTGAATCCCATTAAATATTATCCTTAATGTCATTCAGACACAACAGAAAAGTTTGCCAATATCACCATTGAAAGTGCATGGGGACCTATTACTCTCTGGTCTTTTCAACACGGCTTTGATATGTCTCCTTCCAGAATGAAGTGTCCATGTTGAAAAATGAGGTGGCACAGCTGAAACAGTTGTTGTTAACGCATAAAGACTGTCCAATAACAGCCATGCAGAAAGAATCACAAGGATATCTAAGTAAGTCGTTGACTTTTTTCTTTTCTTAGTGTCCAGTTTTGTTTGTTTTTTTTTTTTGCCACTAATTTTGCATTGGATTTTATGGAACGAGCAAAAGTAAAGTGTAGATTGCACACCCCAGCAGATATCATAGTAGAATTCTTTGGTGGCTGCCAGACTATTGCACCAGAGGGATCCCTCTTTTCTGACCCCATCCCCATGCCCACCACCTCCCAATAATTTCTGACTAGACTTTCCCTGGCATTTCACATTGTAAAATCCTACCGAATCCCAATTCCACAGCCAGTAGGAAAATAGCTTGTGGGAGCCCAACTACCAGTGGGCTAGCTGCCTTCCAGAGAAATCAGTGGGCCGGGGTAGAGGCATCGGGCGAATCACATCCAATGCCTTCAGGTATGCTGCCTTTTATTCACTGGGCTGAAAAGCTCATGACCTCATCTTAGTTTTCCAATAAGTAAAGTGAATCCCTTTCTCTAGCCCCAGTTTCTGCATCTAGAATGTCCATAAGTTAAATGCTAGCTGAGTGGGGGATGGTGGGAGGAGCAGGGATTCATGGCTGAAGGTCAATTTATTTTCAAATAATTTTTTAGATTGAGCAACACAGATTCTCCCACCACATGTGAGTATTTTTCCACATTTGATATATGGATGGCTATTTGAAGATACAAACATGGGGAAGTTCACATACCAAGACTCGAGAACACATGAAATCATGTGGCTGGTATAGAAAGCATGGCTTTGCTTGTAGCTATAAAGTGGGAAGGCATAGCTTTTGACTACAGTTTAAAACAAAGTTTTGAAATTAACGTCCAGGAGCAAATGTATGAAACTCGTCTATTTCTAGTAAACACGTAGTAATGTTTCCCTGCGTAGCCCCCAGGTCCACCCGAGAAGAGCCATATTGGTGTGTGTGTGTGTGTGTGCTTTCTCCTAGGTCCGGAGAGCAGCCCTCCTGCCAGCCCCGTCCCAGCTTGCTCTCAGCAGCAGGTCATCCAACATAATACCATCACCACTTCCTCCGCAGTGAGCGAGGTGGTGGGAAGCTCCACCCTCAGTCAGCTTACCACTCACAGAACAGACCTGAATCCCATCCTTTAAAATCCGCCGGTGGGTCAGACCTTGCCTCCAAGAAGAGCTGCCGCATATCATGCGTCCTTTCTTTTAAGGGCATTTTTAGAATTAACTCAGACCTGGAAGACTCCTCAGCCCTTCAGAGACTGGCTTTCATTTTTATAGTTATTATGGAAATGTCGTCTTTTATACTTAGTTATATAAGAAAAAAAGGGAGTTATGCAATTAATTAATCTATCAGCTTGGGAAATGCTTTGGTGCTTTTCTCCAATTTTCTGGTACCAGTTAACTTGTTTATAAACTGAACTCTTTCTGTATATAGACACAGTTTCATTTTTACCAGTCCAGCCCTTTGCCTGAAACATTGACTCTTGTTAAACCGCAGCTTTTAGCCAAAATGAGGCATACCTAGATGTCACGTAACCAGGTGAGAGGTAACTGGGTGGTGAGTCTCGCGACACTGTAACACACGCTGAGTTTGAGCTGTGATGTCGCCAGAGTTCCAGACAAACACAGAGCCTTTTCCATATTTTTTTCTCTTCCTAAAAAAATTATAAGGTCTGCTGACGTCCAAATAAAACCACCGAGCATCTCGCCCCTTCTCCTCTTCCTCTCCGTCCACTTCCTCGAATTGTCCTCTAATTTCCTCCAGTCTTCCTTTCCATTGCCACTTTTTCCTAGGCTCCCTGTATACTCTTCATTTTTACTTTCTTCCGTTTTATTTTTTTTCCCCTTTAGCATTGCAGGTAAAGAAGAAAATAATGCTTAAAGGAAAAAAAAAAGAAATCTCAAAAATATGGATCTAGCCATTGCTTTTCTTGCCTGTAACCCACAGCTGGAGTTCATTCACCTCTTGCTTTTTATAAAATCGTAAGCAGGAGATGTTTAATGTGCCTGATTTAAGGTTTTTAATAATCAGAGCAAATAAAAGGTGGCTTAGCCGTAGGTGAGGCACTGTTGAAAGCCAGCTGTGGAGACACCAGGGAAGGGAGCCTTGGAAGCCTCGATTGTGAAGGTCCAGATTATGCGGGCTATAACACCACACCCTCAAATTACAACTGGTTTTATAAGGCCTGTCTATAAGGTTGAAAATCCATATACTATATAATAATTCAGAAGGGCTCTATTCACTACACAGATTACATTGTTCAATCATCAGCTGCTAATAGACTAAGATTTCATTATTTTTTTTCTTAAGCCTATGGAACTGGCTTTGCTGTTCTGGTGGATGAAAGTAGACACACCACTGGAGGAACAAAGGGAGAAAGAAAACCTAATGTTTCCATAGGGGTGCTTTCAGCCCTCCCAGAACAGCCAAAGCCTTCTTTGGCTGCTGAAAGAATCCCATGGATGTGGCTACTCCACTCTTCTGAATAATTCTGATTTATATTTCCAACAACTTTCATCGATTCGCCCATTATGGAAAGCATATAGTCCCGAACCACAGTTGTGCCTCCTTGAAACAAGCCATTCTACTGTGCTAATGTTTTAATATCACATCTCGCAAGTAACAGGGGCTAACGTTTCCCTCTAGCAGTCTAGACAGGTGCTGGTGTTTCATCTCCATTTGAATGCTTGACCTCCTAACATGAGTGTGTGTGTGTGTGTGTGTGTGTGAGTGTGCGCACGCCCACGCACACACATTCATGGGATTTAAAATAATAGTATTTTACAAAAGGTGTAGTTTTATAAGAGTTCAAGAAAGGGAAAGACATGTATGGGTGTGTGTCTATGTGTTTATCTCTCACTATAGCATAAGAATCTATTTTGGAGAAAAAAGAAAATATGAGGGTCGTGAAGCATGATTTTTATAACTAGTTTCAGTTGTATCTAAAAAGTTACTTTTTAAATCAGTATTTATCAACAATTGTTTTTAAATGTATGCAGTGCTTTCAAAAGAAAGTTTTGAGTTTCCAGGGAAACTCATGACTGGCTTTGTGGTCTAGAAATCAAAACAAAAACAAAAACAAAACAAACAAACACACACACAAACAAAAAAACAAAAAAATTTAAAAAAAGAAAAGAGAAAAAAGAAAAATGCAAAGGATTTTCTATTATATTTTAGACAAACATATCTTTTTTTAAGTATTTTAAACACTGAATTCATAGTTGTTTTGTTTTGCATCCCAGCAGTAACAGCTGAATGGTTGAACCTAACTGGCTTCCTAAGAAATATTTAAGATATATCTGTATTCTGATATTAAATTTAATTTTTTCAAAACTCCTTTCTAGGACCACGTATGCGTCTCTCTAAAAAAAAAAGAAAGAGCTCGTTGAAATGTTTGCTTGGGTTTTAAATTTTTTTATGTTTTTCTTATTTTTTGCTTTAAGTAAACAAAAACTTTTCTTTCTTTACTGCATGCATAGCACTTAATGAAATGGATTTTTAAAAAATCCACTAGTAATATCAGAATATCCAGGGAGTGGGCTGTCACTGAAATTATGGTTTACTTCTGTTCCACCTCTTGATTGAATATTTAGTTGTTAAACTGAAAGCCTCTGTAGTGAAGAACTTGCCTGAGTTTTCTTAATTCAGCAACTTGACAGTTTGACTGATGTGCATTATATAGAGCTCAATTATGTCTGTTTTTTATGCTAAGTAGGCAAACCAACCACACACACACACACACACACACACGTTAGCAAATGGCCCTCAACATATAATTAGAATAAACTGTCTTCTTGTTATACTTAGAGCCTTTAGGTATGTTCATTAGCAGTGTGGCAATACAGTAAAATGGAAGGCGCCAGCTCGTTGTCAGAGCGTCTTGAAACCCTGAACAGAAAGGCTCGTTGGTCAAATCCAACACTCGGCTTATCAATATTAAGTACTTCACTGGAAGGTTCAGCCTTCACCAGACCATGGAACAATCAGTCTGCCTGAAAACCCCTCCGTGCCCTCCATTTTTTACCAATCTGGGAAAACATCTTTTTTCTGCCCCATTCTCCTCTCCCACTCAGTTCCTGGGTCATCCACCTATATCTTCACAGATCCATTGTAATGACCTTCAGAGCACCCATCCTGAGGAGGGACGGGCTCTGCAACATGCCTCTCATTCATGTGTGGGGTTTTTTTTTATTGGCAGCATCTGCCTTTGAAGTCACTGTCTGTCAGCCTACCTGGAAGTTTCTACAGTGCTTCCCCTGCCTTATGTGATGGGACTTGACTTAGATAGGTACCCCTGATGGCATTTCTACCAGCTGATCCTAAATTGAGGCATCCACATCGTATTTCTTCTTAAAAGACATTTCCCAACATATGATCCCAGGACAGGTGGAGTACATCCTAGCCACGGATGAACGTACTCATTTTAAAGCCTGTGTTAAGCTGATGTTTTCCCTTTACACCCCCACTCATCCCTCCCCACGTCCACGTCAGTGTGTGCGAGTCCCAGTGTTCACGCGGCCTGTGGGGGACAGCAGTTTGTGCGGTGTCACTGAATGAACTGTGATAATTAGGATGACTTACTTGGAGCAAATGCTCTTTGGAGCCTATCCGGTCAAAGAACTCAAATGCAGTGCATGTTCTGAACAGAGGGGCATCAGTGGTGAATGTTCAGGTGGTTTTGTTGCCTGTTACATAAATTTTGGTGTGTCAGTTGAGTTTGCCATTAAAACCTGAAACCAGCTGCGGTGAAAGACCAGCCCCTGGTTGGGGAGTTTTAAGCATCAGTAACTGCTATCAAACTAGCCATCCAGTTAGGATAGAATGTGCTTCTTTCTGGTTAATAAAAACCATCTAAGAAAATATATATGTATGTATGTGTGTATACAGTGGAATTCAAGGACCAAAGCAAAATTTGAACAGGAATCTATTAATTTAGAATTTTATAAGATATTTATTAATAAATGTTATTTTAAAACATTCCATTTGAACAGTATTCTTCTGTAGGATCTACTTGTTTTTAAAGTATTAGTTCATAATAAACTACTCTAGTTGTGTATATCTTCATTTTTCAGGGTTTCAAATGGCTATTCTCCATCATTTGGTGGAAATGTTTTGCTTAGATCTCTGTGCATAGAAATTTCAAGGATTTTTATTGCTCTGTGAGTTATTTTTTAATCTATGTTCTGAACAGTTTTTTTAAACATTTATTTCTTCTTCTTCTTTTTTTTTTAATTTTTAAAGTAAGCTCTTTCCTTTAGGAAGCAGAGTTCAGCTAAAGGAAATCAGTAACTATAACTGGAACAGCTTTCTTTAAAAGTGTAGAAACAACTTCATCTCTGCTTCTCTCCACCCCACCCCAATTTCCTAGAATGCCTTGCACTATTCAGCTTCCTTAGTGCTCTTTTTTCCCCTTCCCAAACAATGTGCTGTTGCTTTAAGCCATTCAAGGTCCATTATGCAGTATATCTGAGAAGGAAAAGGAAACAACCCATTTAAATTTGAATAAAACTGTGCCTATGCGAACAGTAGCTATTTAGAGTCTCCTGCTTTTAAAATAATTTATATTTTAAAATTGCACTTTAGCTTTTTCGATCCCTTTCTGTTTCTCTTGTTCTCTCTCAGAGCCCCTCCCTGTCCTCAGACTTGTCTTCTGCTCTCCCCTTTCCAACTCCCCACCCTTCCCCTCAGGCTCTGAGCTGCATCATTTAAAATACTCTACAGAATATTTGCACCAGGTACATGTGTGTGCGTTCCTTAGTATCCAAGCAAAGACAGGTTCCTCACATCAGCCTAGATGAAGCCTGCTATAAGAAAACCAAGGAGAAGAGTCAGTTTATACTCTTTAACCCTTTATTCATAGCATGTTTTTTTTTTAAAGTTATATTATGCAACAGATGTGAGGCAGCAGCTAAGCTACACTTAAGAATTTTCTATCTCATCCTCCAAACCAAAGTGTCCTGAATGAGCCAGGAGACTTAACTCTTTTGTGCACCATGGTGCATATGGACTGTGGTCCCAGCCATTGTCTCTCTGAGGCTGTTGAAGTAACAGTGGCCCTGTCTATTTCATTCCTAGGTCTCAAAAATACAATGTTGCCTTGTGACGTAATTAGGGACAACACCTCTATTTTACAATGATAATCTGAGAAAGACAAGAAGACATGGAAGCAATAAACTTATCAGTAAAATTCAATACCAAAACAAAGAAATGAAAACAAAGACAAAAACCCTAGCTCATCATGTTGTGAAAATGAAAAAGTGTACGTCCGCTCAAAATATTTTACTATTTCTTGTGGAGTTTTTCAGTGATGTTAATGCTTATAGCCAAATTGCTTAAAGAGTGTTTATATATTTTTTTCCTTATAAATTGTCTATTTTTAAAAAAAAAAAAAGAAACTATTTACCACAAGTTGAAGAGGGGGGTAAGGCCAAATTGCCAGCATTTGTTAAAAGATTAATATTCTTAAGTGGCGCTCTGATACGTTTCCAAGCTTATCATCAGAGGGGAATCAGTAACGATCAGCTCTTGTATTTCGACCAACTTATAATATGTAGCTCATTAGAAACCAGGATTTAGAAAGCTTTTCATAAGCCATTTAGGATTTCCTACCTTGAGTTTCATATTATAGAACTTTCTAGGATTTTTTAAAAAGAGAGAATCATTTTAGCCTCAGGACTGAGCATGTGGAACCTGAATAAATTAGCTTTAAGTATATCATTAAAATCTTATGCACAAGAAGCTCATTAGAGTCTAGTTGGCTCCTTTAGAATGCCAGTGGCATTGACAGGAGATAATGAAAGGTTATCAGCAGTAGGCCAGTGGAGGGGGTTTCAGAGAAGGGACCCTTCCCAACCAGCCAGCCAGTAGAAGAGAAGACCTACTCACC